ATTCTTCTAGCAATTTCTTGACTGGAAATAGCTTCCAGATTATTCCCAGGCAACAGAGCTGTGAGCCACAAAGATACTCGTTCCATGGGGGAATGGCTGTAACAATCCATGACTATACTAAATTTTTTACGAATCATTAACTGAGGACAAGGCAATGGGGAATTTTTTTTTGCAAAAACCAGAGATTTAAATTAAAAACTCAATGAAACTTTCATGGATAACTTCTAGGGCCTTTTTTCTTTCCTTTTACTTTAGAATTTTATATTTTAAGTTCAAAGAGCCAAAATTAGATTGCATCTAAGAGTCAAGAGCACCTTCTGTTATACTTTTTTAAAATAGAAATTTGAAATTTTTATTTTATTTCTAATCATGATGATAAAATTTAACACCTTGTTTTCTTGGGCCCAGCAATGGAAAGAAATTCTAATCTGCCAGTGACATAGAGCAGATAGTTCATTTTTAAGATATGAAATCTGAGAAATTTTATGAATATTCCATAATTACCCTGATGTGTTCTTAGTCTTGTAGAGGGAGGGATGGCACTAAGGCTCTCACAATATTCAAAAACAGGATCATCAATAAGGAAGCAGATCCAAATTTGACTTGTTTTCATTCCAGTAAGATGAGCCATATTCTTTGTGTGTCGTCTTTTACAGAGAAAAGTGCTTTTTCAGTAATCTACCAATGTTTAGGAACATATCTAAGAAAATATCTATGGGGCCAATTCACTATTTGTCTGTAGTGCCTATCCCAAATGAAAGTATGATATGGACTAACTCAATAGACTAACCATCCAAATTCATGTCATAATCTAGACCAGTGATATCAAACTCAAATAGAAAGTGGGGGAGAGGTCATTAAATCATAAGGTTCCCTGCAGGTGCACACTGACTTAGAAAACCATATATTAACATTATCTATGTTTTATTGTATTTTTATTTATTTTGTTAAATATTTTCCAATTAATCTGCTTTGGGCCACATGTAGCCTGTGAATCCCATGTCTGACATGTCTGATCTAGACTTTTTCATTCAGTTGGTATTTCTCCTATGGACTGTATGGCTGACCTCTTTTGAACAATCACGGCTCTCATTAAGGATGCCTAATAATATTCTGGGATTTAAATACAATAAGTAGAATATCATCAACTAATGGGAGCATCTGGAGGAACTCAATGTATACGGGTAATCCTTCTTCCATTTAAAGTTTCTAACGTAGGTAAATATCTCATTGTTTTATAACTTAATAGCTATCATTGATATATTACATTAAAGTTTGCAAAGAGCTTTACTTATTTTATCTCATTTGATCCTGACAATAACCCAGCAAGGTAGATGCTACTTATTATTACCATTTTGCATATGAGGAAACTGAGGACAAGTGACTTTGCCCAATGTCACATAACTACTAAGTGTTCGAGGCAGGATTTGAACTCAAGTCTACCCAGTCTACCCACTATGCACCTAGGTAATTTGATAAGCATTAATAATCAGAATACCAAAGACCAGAGCTCTCTCTATGGACACATTTGTCAAAGATCTTCTAAGACTTTATTGCATGCCATTACATAACCCAGCCTAATTTCAACATTTCTCTTTCTAGACTACGTATAACCTAATAATAAACATAAACTATGACGATAAAGTAATGCACCTCATTTACTGGCACACCCAAACTTGGAAATCTCAACAAGTGTTGTTCCCTTCAAACTAGTTACCTCATTAGGTTATATATTAATTCCAAAAACATCACAGAACTCATCTTTTAGACTTCCATTTGAAGGGTGCAACTTTGTTTTTTTAACATCTTCCAAAGGTAGCACAAATTCATCCTTTGATGAAACACCTAATTTTTAAGACTTAATTCTAGTGAATGAAGTTGAGGATGAGGCTGGACAATGCTACTTTTTTTGTGTCAAGGGCAGGTTATAATCAAAGAAAAGTTTGTCACCCCCTTTCTTGGGTGACATCTAAACTAATTCAGGAGAGACGTATAGGCTTACCTACATGAACCGGTGCAAAGTGAATGAAGTAAAAAGAGCAAGGAAAACAATACAATGCCAGAAAGCACTGACATCATTAAATCACGATAGTTTAAGATAATAATAAAAATTTTTCACCACAAATTAAGCCGGGGATTTTTGAATTCACATCACCACAAAAGAGTTACTAAATTTCAATTTGGGGGGCAGCTAGATGATGCAGTGGATAGAGCTCCAGCCTTGGAGTCAGGATGGACCTGAGTTCAAATTCGGCCTCAGACACTTACTAGCTGTGTGACCTTGGGCATGTCACTTAACCTCGAATGCTTCACCAAAAAGAAAAAAAAAGATTCAATTTGAAAGGGGGGAGGGATAATTGTTTACTTTTATGATTTAAATGAATTCTAAATTTGGGCTAAATTAAATTTCTAACAACCTTGAGAACGCTAAGGAATAACCCTTTTTTTTTTTTATAAAGGGAGATAGAGACTTCAGTACGAGGGGGGAAATTACATAAGCAAAACACGTAAATCTTTTAGGTCAGTTAAAAAGAACTTTTAAAAAATTACAATATGAAATACTTGAATGGTCTCTTCAACCCATTCCATTTTCACTTCCCTGCTAAACTTCACTGTCCCAAAATACTTGAAATGATTTTCATATCTGAGTTTTTGACTTGTATTTATCCCCCCGTGGCTCATTTTCAGATAGATTTTCATTTAAATTTGTTTCATCACTCATCTATTTTAAGGAATATGATTTTCCTTTTTATTTTTTTTTCTAGATGGAAACTTGCTTACTTTGTGTAAGACAAATCTTTTCTCCTCTGATGAAGGTTATTTACCCCAATGGCTCCCTATAACCTCCAGGATCATGTATATAAAATCCTCTGTTAGGCATTCAATAACCTGTCCCACCTCTCCAGTCTTCTCACAGCTTACACCTCCCCTTTCCAACTCCCATACCGTTTGATCTAGTGGCACAGTCCTCCCTGCTGTTGTGCTTCACACAATGACCTACCACAATTCCAAAAGACTCATGAAAAAAAATACTATCCATTTACAGATAGAGAACTGATTGACTCAAGGTGCAGACTGAAGCATTCTCTTTCCATTTCTTATTGTTTTGTTTTTAAATTTTCCTAGAACATAGCTAATGTGGAAATTTGCATGACTTCATATTTGTAATGGGTTTTGTATTTCTTGCCTTCTCCATGAGTGGAGGAGGAGGTGGTACCTGTTTTTTGTACAACCCATGACCTAAGAATGATTTGGGCCTTACAAAAACAGGTCATGAGCTGGATTTGGCCTTGGGCTGCAGTTTGCAGATTCCTAGGCTAGAATATTGGGCCCAATTCAATTAGGCAAAATATAATAGAGAAAATGAATTTTCCATGGGTGGAGATCCTCAAGCAAAGGTTGGATAAATGCCTGTTCAGTATGTCATAGAAGTAATTCTTACTAAATTAAGATTGGACTAAATGGTCTTTTTAAGGTCCCTTTCCAACTTAAGAAATTCTATCAGCCCCATTTTATAAGTCCATCCTGAAAGATGTTGTTGCTTATACTGAAGTATAGTCACCTAGTGGAATAGAAAAGTATTCAGAAACATAAACTAACTCATAGGACTGGGAGCAAAAGTTTCAAAAACTTTTAAATGACAAACAATCTCATGGTCTACTTTAAAGATGAATATAAGTTTATTTCAATTCTTATTTTAAGTTAACCAAAGCTGGATAGCTGGTATATATGTTAGTGAGTCACTTCCTATAGTCATCACTAATAAAGAATAACATTACTATTTTGTTTTAAATAAGAATGTATGCAGCTAAAAGATGTGTCTGATCATGTCACTTCCTTACCCAAGAATCTTCAGGGGTTAGCCATTGCCTTTAGGATAAAGTACAAACTCCTTCTATTCATCATTTAAAGATCTCCACAATCTGGTTTCAGCCTATCTTTCAAACCTGACTCACCATTATTCCACTTACATATTCTCACCTCCAGTTAGTCTATTTACTGTTTCTTGTATACAATATTCAATCTCCCATCTCCATGCTTTTGCATGACTGTCCAACAGGTTTGAAATTCTTCTCTCTCTTCACCTATAATTCTTGGAGTCCCCAGCTCCCGTCAAAGCTCAATTCAAATGCTAGCTCCTTCCAAAAGCCTTATTGCAGGAACCCTCCACACTCCATTCACTGCATCCTGCATATACATACTGCATTACCCAGTCAGAGCTGAGACTCAAGTCCAGGTTCTGACTAAGATCAGCGTTATTTCCAAGGCACTATCCCTCCCCTTTGGCCCCCCAGATCTAATATTCATTTTGCTGTTAAAGCTCTGGCAGGTGTGTGTGTGTATGCATGTGCGTGTGTGTGTGTGTATGTGTTTAAAAATATTATCATTTTAGTGCTCTGTTCATCTATTCCTAGATGGAGTTTTAATGAATTCTCTACAACCTTGGCCTTTTCTATCAGCCTCCCCATTCTTCATATAAAATGCAACCCGCTTACGTTATTTCATGTGGTTTTTAAAATTATAAATAAATGATTTAAAAATGTAGATAGCTGGTGATGTATTGCCACTTTAAAATAAATTTCCCATGAGGAAAAAGCAAATTCCCAAAATACATACATTCAGTATGGAGCCCAGCACTTAGTGTCACCAAATGAAGCTCCTTGCCAAACAAAACCAGCTAATGGAAAAAGTTTTCTGGAAGGAGCATTCAATTGGCAAATGACCCAAAGGGGACAAAAAGAACCAGTACAAAAATGGGTGGGAACATCAAATTTTTGGTTCATAAACCTTAATGGTTTCCCAGATTTGAATAAAAGGATAAATAAAAGGAAATCAATTTACAAAGCTAAACAACATTAAGAATAATAGCTAACATTTACATACGGTAGCACATTAAGGTTTAGAAAGCATTTTTACATACATATCTCTCATGTGACCCTCACAACCACTTTGAAATAAGTAATTAAAACTTTATTATTTCTACTGCACAGATGGTGTACCTGAAGCTCAGAGTAATTGAGTAACTTGCCCGAGATCCCATGGCTGGTAAGCAGCAAAGCCCGAATCGAAGACAGATTTTCTGACTCCAAGTCCAGTTGTCTTTCCCTACACCGTACTCCAAATAGTGAAAAATAACAGACTGAGAGGGTTAGGAAATTTTCAGTTGAGTAAATAGTGAAGTGACTCTGGGAAAAAAAAAATTCTTGGCCAATATCTGCAGTTTTGCAATTGGAAAATACCAGTTAGTTCAGTTTGTATTGATTCACTCACACTCATTTTATGTAAAGTGTCCGATTCTTCAACAAGCATTCATTAATCTCCTACTACATGCAAGGAAATAAGGATACAAAGAAAAGAAGAAAAAAAAAGAGCACTCAGTTTTCATGTTTCTCCACGATTATAGACACTGGCTAGTCTACTAATTGCAGCTAGAGGTGGCACAGTGGACAGAGCTCTGGGCCTGAAGTCAGGAAGACCTGAGTTCAAATCGGGCTTCAGGTACCTACTGTGTGACACTGGGCACTCTATGTGCCTTGGTTTCCTCATCTTTAAAATGGAAAAATAATAGTACCTACCTCCCAAAGTTGTTTTGAGGATAAAATGATAATACTTGTAAAGCACTTTGCAAACTTTAAAGTGCTATATAAATGCCAACTGCTGCTGTTGCTGCTGCTGCTACCACTACTACTATTAGTCCTACTGTATACTAAAGAAAGGAATAGGATAAATGAGAAGCTACTTGATACCTATATGATCTTGGAAAAATCACTTTACCTTTCTTTTTTGGGTTTCAGTTTCCTCATTTCTAAAATGACGGGATTAGACTTAAGGGAAAGGTACTAGTTAAAGCATAATTGTTACAAAAACATCCCCCCCCAAAATCTGATACCTCTGCCATGAGTAAATACCAAATCCAGGGGAAAGTGGGTTCAAAGTTGGGAAGCACATGGATTCAACACCTGATTCACAGTCTCTCTCTTCTCCAATCCTTGCCCTCATCCTAGGAGACTTTAATGTACATATTGATACTCCAAAACAACAACAATAATAAAACACCCTTACTTCCTAGTTTCTCAACTTACTCATTTCCCATGACCTACTCCTCCACAGCATCATTCAGCTATTTGCAGAGATGGTCATACTCTTGATTTTGCTATAACCCAAAAGTGTTTCACTTCCATCTTTATGAACTCTGAAATTCCTTTATCTGAATATAATCTTTTGTTGTTCTACCCTTCCCTCTGCTTTATAACCTCTAACCATGTTCCTTATCCTCACTGTTACTGCCAATACTCCTCACTTCTTTCCCAGGACATCACCCCTGAAATGGCTACACTATTCTCTTTTCCACATCTTGACCCCTGGGTGATCCAATTCAACTTGCACTATCCTCTTCTCTCTAGCTCCTTTATACCTTATCATTTCAATGATTTCATCCTGTTAAATCTCACCTTTGGATTACAGCCAAAGCCTTTGCTCCTATTCACATGCAGTTGCACTAAGCTGAAGAAATGCAAGAAAACATGCTGACTGAATCCACTATATGTTTATGGTATGTAATGTAAACTGACCCAAACTGCAGCAAAGCAATGCTTTTGTATCTCCCTAATCAATTTACACTCATCACAACAGCTTTTCAAGTCTCCTCAAACTTCCCATGGCTTCCCATTCCCCATCTTCTCAGCTAAGAACCTTACCTCATATTTCACTGAAAAAATTGAGGTCACTTAGCAAGAGTTCTATCTTCTCTCCTCCTCATCTCATATCCCTCAGATGCCTTCTCCCTCATCTTCTCTTTCATCCATCTCACATGAAGAAGCGTCTTTTCTCCTTGCCATATGCACAAGTGATCCCATTCCATCTCATCTTCTCCAGCAGTCTACCCCATCTGTCATCCCTACTCTTGCATCAATCATCAATCTCTCCTTTCATCAGCTGCTTCCCTGCTGCCTCCAAAATGCCCAAGGCTCCTCCATCCTCTAAAAACCCTCAATTGTTTCATCAATGCCCACTGGTTATCACCCTATGTCTCTCCTTTCTTTTCAAGTTCTTGTTGTTCATCCTTCATTTTTTGAAGAGAACTGATGACATCAAGATGGTGATGTCTTGACTTGCAAGTGGACTAACCTTTTGTGAGACGGCTGTCCATAATTGTTGAGCTTAGTTCTTTCCCTCTCAATCTCTTCTTAAGTCTCTGCAGTCTGGCTTCCTAACCCTTTCATTCAACTCAAAAATATTCTCCCAAGTTATGAATGATCTAATTATCAAGTCTAATGATCTATTCTCAACCTTCACTTTCTTTTCCTTGATACTCACTTCTCTCTAGGTTTTGTAATAGCACTGGGTTCCCCTCCTATTTATCTGATTACCCCTTCTTGGTCTCCTTTGCCATATCTTTATCCAAGCATTGCTCCCTAATCCTAGATGTCTCCCAAGGCTCTATCCTCTCTTCTCTTTCCCCTTTATACATTTCCCCATCGGTGATCTCATCAGCACCCGCAGATTAAATGACCATCTCTATGCTGGTGATTCTCAGCTCTACTTACGTAGCCCTAACCTCTCTGTTGACTTCCAGTTTCCAGTTGCCTACTGGGTAACATAAACTAGACGTCTCAAAGACATCTGAAAAATCTACATGTCCAAAACTGGATATATCATCTTCCCCCCAAAATTCTGCCCTCTTCCAAACTTTTACTACTAGTGCTGAGGATACTACCATCCTCCCAGGTATCCCAGCTCACAACCAAATTGTCATCCTCAGCTCTTCACTCTATCCCACACTCCATATCCAACCTATTGCTAAGTCTTGTCAATTCTACCTTTGCGACATTTCTCATTATATTCTCCCTTCTCTCCTCTAACATTGCCATCACTTTGGCACAGGGCATCATCACCTCACAGCTGGACCATTGCAATAGGCTGTTTTTGGTCTCCCTGACTCAAGTCTCTCCATACTCCAGTCCATACTCCCTTGCCACCAAAGTAACCATGTTACTCTGCTATTCAATAAACTCCACTAGCTTTCCATGACTTCCAAGGTCAAATAAAAAAAATCCTCCATTTGGCTTTTAAAAACCTCCATAACTGGCACCTTTCTACCTTTCAGTCTTCTTATACTTTATTTCCCATATATTCCTGCATCCAGTGATTCTTGGCTGTTCCTTGTAGGGCACTCCATTTCCTGATTCCATGGATTTTCTCTGGCTATACCCATGCCTGGAAGTATCTTTTTCCTTACCTCCACCTCCTGACTTCTCTGGCTTTTTATTACTTACTTTAAGTGAAGGGGAAAAAGGGCACTTGATTGAAAAAAATCAATCAACCTCAATTTTATACTGTGACCTCTAATTCCATTTTCCCTTCCCTGTGCCTAGTGTATCTCCCTCAATCAAAACTCAGATTCTTATAAATCTCATATTTTTTGGGGGGAGGGCTTCCAAAAAAGATTAAATTCACAGTAAGGTGTAAGTAAGCAACCAGTTTAAATCCTTCCTCCGAGGGGTCTTCACACCTTTAAAAGAATTTGTTAACCCAAAGGAATTTGTTTCTGGAAGCTATTTTGGAAAGGGGTGAAGAGAGAAAAAGGATGGAGGCCTGGAGTAGGGAAAGGAAAATTAGCAGAGCATAAGTTATGAATTCAAACCTCATGGAACAAATCCTTTTATTAAGAGTATTTGCTAAAAAAAAAAAAAGAGTATTTGCTCAGTAAAGTTTGGATTCAGTGAAAGGGATGCACTTGAGGACCTAGAGAAACTTAAAACATACATAATAGAAAAGGCAGCATGAATTTCCCTTTGCCTTCTGCAATAAGAACTCAGAGAGTGTTCCAGATATATTAGCAGCAAGCCAATCTGGCCATGAGTTAAGCTCATACATCTCATGCCTGAAGCTACCTAGAGTTTTTCAAGGTCATGATTTCAGTGTGTCTACTTCCAAGGTTTACTATCAGTTTTGAAATTTAGAGACCTGGAAAAAATAAAACCCAGGCCACATTTCTATCAATCTGAGAAGTTTACTTTGACTTCACTAATGAACACCTCTCCTCCTGCTCCTACCACCCAAATCCCATCTTTATGTCCATCAGTAACTTATCATGTTCATATGACTCAAACACTGTGATTATAGAAAAGTGTAAGATTATGCCATAGTTGCATTTTTTAAATTAAATGTAGCATAACAAATTAGAATCAACTTATCTTTGGCTTGTTCCCGCAAATATTGACAATTAAAGAATTTCAACCCATAGTCAAAAATTGCCATATTTTGTCATTAATCAGGAGCTTCTCAGAACACAAGAACAGTTCAACTACGTAGGGTTTTCCCAGCAACACAAATTCACAAGAAAACCTCATAAAGAGATAACCAGAAGGGAAACAGAGATTAAATTTCCTTAACTTTGCTCTTAGGGAGGGAAGAAAGCCAAGTGATGACTCTACACGGCACAACTAAACTACATGTTTATTTATATGGTGAGAAGTCAGGCTCCTCCACAACTGCATCTATGTGGTAATTACAAATCATTCATTTCTTTTATTTGTTAAAATTTATTTATTTGTTTATACTTTTCAACATTGACTTTTATGAGATTTTTAGTTCCAAATTTTCCTCCTCCCTTCCCTCCCTCCTCCCCAAGATGGCATGCAATCTGATACTGGCTATATATGTAGAATCATATTAAATATATTTTCACATTAGTCATGTTGTAAAAGAAGAATCAGAACAAAAGGGAAAAACCAAGAGAAAGAAAGAAAAAAGAGGAAACAGTATGCTTGAATCTGCATTCAGACTCCATAGTTCTTTCTCTGCATGTGGATAGCAACAAATCATTCATTTCAAAAAGGCAGAAAGAGAACTAGGGTGTGTGTCCAGGATCTGGTTGATGCTTATACTGCCTGAGAGTTCAATTCAATTCAACTCAAGCACTTATAAAGTACTTCCTCTTGTGCCAGGTAAAATTCTAGACAGTTCTTACCTTCCAGAATCTTAAGTTCTACTGAGGGCATATGCCAGGTACCAAGTAAGTATATATAAAGTATACATAAATAATTTCAGGAGGGAGAAAGTATGAATAACGTGAGGGCAG